TTATTATTATTATTATTATTATTATTATTATTATTATTATTATTATTATTATTATTATTATTGTAAATGACTCAAGAATTGTGTGAATTCCTTGAAATTGGGAAACGACATTTCTTGGACTTCCACCTTTTAAATTGTAGCATAATTTGTAAATGCTTTTTCAAGAGAAGTAGAGGCATTTATAAAAGCTTCTTCTATCCATAACACAGTGCTTTCCACTGTATTTTAAGCTTTTCTTGTGGCTAAGCCTTCAGGTATGTGTGAAATGCTTTGGGATTGTGAAAACAGAATGAATAGAGTTTATAAAGAATATGCAAAATATTGATTGTTGTTGACTTACCGCTTTATAACACAAGTAATTAAAACAGGTCCAGATAATATTATGCTGTGTTAAAAATGATCGTGTAATATAGGGAAGATTGATTTGCAGCCTTTGGGCTACACTGAGAGTTCCCCCCTCAAAACTTTTTTGAACCCCCAAAAAGTTCCCAGAACTACACTGTCAAAATCTAGTTGCAAACAGCCAGAGTTTGGTGATGTGATTATTTGCTTTTTGCTCACAAAGATCTAAAATTGGTGCTGTCATACTTAGTGTATCTCTTTTAGAGAAGGAAAAAAGAATCCAGACTCCTTGGTATGTCTATTCCCCCTAAAGAAGCTGACAGATGAAACCGTCTATGACAGAGGTGTCAAACTGAAGGCCCGCAAGCTGGATCCAGCCCATGGGGTACTTAGATTTGGCCTTTGGGGCCACCGTAGAAACAGCAAAGGACCAGCCTACAGCACCTCTGCCATAAAAAAATGAGCTCAGGAGGTCCATGCGTGCCCCACCGAGCTCTGTTTTTGCTAGCAGAGGGCTCACAAAACAAACTAAAAACAAAACAAAAGGAGAAATGTTTCCGCCTTTGAGCATGCAAGAAGGGTCAGGAAAAAAGAAGGGGAAAGAGGAAAGATAAAGAAAAAGATGGGAAGAGAGCAAGGAAGGACAAATAAGGAGAGCGGGGAAGGAAGAAGAAAGGAGAATGAGAGGAAAGGAAAAAGAAGAAATGGGAGGGAGGAAGCAAGCAAGCAAGCAAGCAAGGAAAGAGATTATAATGAGAGTGAGGGAGGGTCTCAGGAAGTCCTGCATTAGCACTTGGCCACTCGAGTGATGTCAAGCTGGCCACGCCCACCCCAGCCGCGCCCCTGGCCACAGACACCCCACCCCCACCAAGGTCCAACACAACCCTGATGCAGCCCTCAATGAAACTGAGTTTGACACCCCTGCTCTATTACCCCAGAATCATGCCCATTGCAACCTTTGTCTATCCTAACTCAGCAGATACCAGGATTAACATAGAGGGTACAATACATAAAATGTTCTAAAGAACAGGACAAAAGAAGAGAACAAACCCTTCTTGGTCAAATCCCAGTAGTTTCTAAAAATACGTTTATAACTGCGTTCATTTGCTTCTTGCGGATGGTTGGGTACTCTAGGTCTCATCAACATTCCCGCTGTAGCTCTTGGGATGTTCTCTGGAAGCTTGCTCATGAAGAAGTTCAGGCTGAACATGTTGGGGGCAGCCAAGGTCTCCTTGACCTCGTCCTTCCTTGGTTACCTACTGCTCCTCACCCTTTTCACAACTGGTTGCAAAAATGCAGAGGTGGCAGGCTTGACCATCTCCTATGAGGGCTAATCCACGGGACAGTGCCAGGAGATAGTTCATGCTGTAGTAGTGACCTTGTTAAATTACATCATTGTCTTCCATGGTACCTCCCAAAGTTCGGATGAGATTTATGAATGAATGTGAATTGGGCGATCATCTTCTATAATAATTGGGCACTTGACGCTGTGAGTTGTAAACCACCAAATACGTTGAAGACTATAGCTTGCTCACCACTGACTCAAGGAGGGATTTTTCTTTTCTTTTTGGCAATCTTTGACTTTGCTCTTCCAAAACTATCAAGGCCGTATCAAAAATCGTTAGGTGTCATGCCGAGTTGGATCGTGTTCGGTTCTCAATGAAGAACCTTCTGGACTGAGATGGAAAAAGCTTAAAAGAGCTTCCTCTCTTGATGGAATGTTGTTCATGAACAGAATGATAGCAATAGCACTTAGACTTATATACCATTTCACAGTGCTTTTACAGCCCCCTCTAAGCAGTTTACAGAGTCAGAATACTGCCCCCAACAATCTGGGTTTTCATTTTACCCACCTCAGAAGCCGTGGTGGTATTCAGCAGTTCTGACCAGTTCTGGAGAACCAGTAAAGAAATTTTTGAGTAGTTCAGAGAACCGGGAAATACCACCTCTGGCTGGAGATTTTACAGTATCCTTCCCCTGCCACGCACACCAAGCCACGCCCACAGAACTGGTGGTAAAAAAAAATTGAATCCCACCACTGCTCAGAAGGATGGAAGGCCGAGTCAACCTTGAGCCGGCCAACTGCAGCAGAAGTAGCTTATCTGATGGATCATTTCTCAGTTCACATTGGAAAGGAGTCTGAGTAGCATCTTTCCTGACCAACAAAATGTATTAAAAGGGAGAGCTTTTCATACCAGAATCTTACATGGATCCAGTCATCCATGCTGTTGTGAAATAAGCGCGGCTAATGGAAGCTGGTCCTTTTGATGAAACTTTTGTCAGTTGGAAAAAGTTCTTCCAGGCTCCTTCTGACTTTTTGCTGCCATGGATCAGGGGTATCAAAATGGATTCCTTCGAGGGCCCTGGAGCATTGTAAGCCTTTTAGTTTGCTTCAGATTTGAGCACTGGGCATGAGCCCGCACTTATGTCTGCTTCGTTTCAGATATTTTATGACTGTAGCTGTGTGGGCTTTCCAGAGGCTTCCTCAGGGCTTTCTTCAGCTCCCTTGTCCACGAGGAAAGGGATGCTCCAAAAAGTTTCTTTATTTTTTGGTGATATCTGTAATCGCTTCCTATACCTTATCAATTGGAGGCACTCCGGGATTTTTTTTGCTTCTCAGGTAATGAATATTTTTAACTGCTGGAGATTTTTCTGTAAACACATAAGCTATATATCAAGTTTCCCATAACGTTACCTCATAGCCACTTGATTTTCTGTATTTTTCCATGGGCCCCCCCCCCCCCCCCAGTAAAAGAGGCAGCAAACTCCAAAGTGGTTTAATGATGTAGGATATGGATTAGTAGATATTTAGAAAAATGAGGGGAAACTAGAAACCATATAGCTGCTTTTTGGTATAACATTGCATTTATTGTATTTCACAATTTACAGTGTCTATGGGTGATCTGCAGCTAAATTGCTCAGTCTTCAGAAACAAAATATATCGACTGAAGAGACCTACTGAAAAGTAAAATTGGTACTACTTTTGGAGCCCTAAAAGGGACCTTATTTGAGGAAAATAAACTAAAATATGGGTTAAGGAAGGAAGAGCATGTGTTTTTAATCAAATAGCCCAGTTGTGCAAATAGAAACAGAAATCAATACCAAGGTAGACCTTTTTCCTTAATGAAGCAACTACATAAGACAGATTTTGGCTCCTACAAGATTTCTTAGGCATATGTTCAACATTTACTAATGTATATTAAATACATGGAAGATTTGTTGGCTAGTCTGATAGATGATGAACTTTTGTCTGGAAAGCTAAGCAGATTTTCATTTTATGAAGTTGGAATGGTAGTGCACTTTTCATGATGCATTCCTTTATCTTAAATCATACTGGTTTCCTCTGGCACATTCTCAGGATCTACCCACTTGGCATCACTGTCTTTGTATTGGGCCTCATACCATCAAATAAAATAATTTTTGTTTGGTCAATCACCAGCAACTTTTGAAAATATACAACACAAAAGTACTGTAAAATCAAGAGGATTTTATGTCAAGGATAAGATAAAATACAAGTGTAACTAGGAATCTCTTTAATAAAAATATAACATGTGCAACTATAATGGTGCATTACATGCAGATATAAATCTAAAATATTGCAATCTACGAAGTAAAAACACAAATCACTTAGAACAAGATAGCTAATATGTAATAAACCTGAAATGATGAATAAACACGAGTCTTTGTGACCAGTTGTGACCAGTTATGCCTTATTTTCATGGTAGCAACATAGAGTTTGGCTACTGCATAAGAGAGAAAGGGTTTCAAAACTTTTTATAGATGATGGCCCATATAAAAATTGTCTGGCCTTCCTGTGAATTTGCACATCAGGGCCAAATGTAAGCAAACCAAATATCCCTGTGTTACAACATAATTTAGAGCCATTGTGGTCTAGTGGTTAAGGCACCAGGCTGAAAAGCAGCAGAGTGAATTCTAGTGCCACCTCAGGCATAAAAAGCCAGTTGGGTGACGCTGGGCCAGTCACTTGCTCTCAGCCCAACTGACTTCACAGAGTTGCTGTTTTGGGGAAAGGAGGAGGCGGAAGAAGGAATACTAGGTATGTTCGCAGGGGTGCGCTTCAAAAATGTTAGCAATGGGTTCTCTGCTTGGTTGCTGTGTGGGCATGGCCATGGTGGGCATGGCTTAGTCAGCCTCCTGCACTATGGCGGGAGGGGCGCTTTTGCCCTCCCCGAGCTCCGGAGGCTTTTTTCTTTTAGCCTCCGGGAGGGTGAAAACAGCCTCTCTGGGCTCTGGAGGCTCTCTGGAAGCCAGAAACAGGCCCATTTCTGGCCTCCCTTAACTTCCAGGAGGCCCATTTTTCACCCTCCCTGAGCTTCCACGCATGCCCTGCACTTACCTGCATCCAAAATGGGCCACGTGGGAACTTCTGGAGTGGGCGGGGTGGGCGGGGCAGAGCCAGCTAGGAGTGGGGCTTGGGGGTTCTTTGAACTGCACAGAATCTTAGCTAGGAGCAGGG